TTTTCCCTATAGGACACCTTCATATCATCCCAATGCTCATGTTCTTCTATAGTCAACATTTTATGCATGAAGAGCACCTTTTCCAGAGGAGGAAGAAGCTTACCTCATAGTCAGAGATGTGCAGCTCAATCCCTCACTTCTTAACAAGCCAAACTAGAAAGGGCAATGGGAGTTTTGCCTGGAAAACTCTGATGTTTTCTCACTGCTACATCTAAAGTCCCCTAAAAAACCCAAACGAACCACTCAAACCAGCCAGCACTGCCATTTTGGCACCAACTGACCTGATGTTGAGGATGTCCAATGATGTATGGAAACACAGCTCCTTGGGGCATCATCTCCTGCAAACCCAGCACCATTGTCACATCCAAGGGCAATGGTTTCATCATCACACACAGTGCCTCACAATTTTGGCTGCAAAGCAGGAATTTGGGGTGAGGGACACACACATGAGATGGAAGGGAATAGGATAGAAGTAACTCCCCATCATTTGGAAAGCAATCTGCTGTAGAAAGAATAATGCTGGAAAAGAATAAACCTAAACAGCAAAGTCTATGCTAAAGCATGTGAAGTATCCACCCAAATTTCTGCTTCAATAGGTTTTACCAAAGCAAATTAATCAGGACATTCAGCCTTTGTTTCCAAAGGGGAAATCTCCTCCTGCAGCCTCAAGGGTCCTGTGATATTCTGTTAATTGGCCTCATGACCATGGACAAACTCAGCTGGAGGATACACAGTCAGCTCTGCTTGGACTTAAGCAAGCATAAATCTCATCTCTTCCAAGGCTCAATTACTTTCTAGAAAGTTCATTTGTTTAACATGAATTGATCACATGCACCCACCAGCTACAACATCAGGAGTCAATGGTAAATAAGAATCACCAAACACTCATTACTTCAAAGACCTCAGTGGTTCCCTCGTGGCATGTTGAAATTTGCCTTTTTCTTAGAGGGTCATCATCAATCTTAAACAAACAACTCAAAATAACCCTTCAAAATGCTTCAGGGAAGCATTTGCTGTGTGTTCTTAAATGACAGCCACTGTGTAATGTGAAGTGCTCACTGCAGGACCTAATCCCTAACTGCAAGTGGTAAACACCCAATGGAAGTGATTCTTCTGGGAAAAAGGTGCAGCTGGCACAACTGTCCAGGAAATCCAACTTCAGGAGTTGGCCAACACGTCAAAGTCCTGATCTCCCTGAATTTCATGGCAAAACTCACCCTGAGGGAGGCCTGAAGTTCACTGAGATGTCTGTTTTACATCCCTTGGTTATTTTTAGGGCTGGACAATTGTCTCTTCAGGCAGCTGAGAAGGATTTTATTCTCTGGCAACTTGGTAAGGAAGGATAGCTCAGAAATGGGAAAGAAATGAAAATCAGCACTTGTCCAGCAAAGTTCTCGTCCCTAACAATGCAAAACTAGATTTTATCACATAAATTTGAAGAGCTTTAATACAGGAATGTTTAACCGTTAGTTCTAGTAGTTGGTACCTTTGAACATTCATGTACACCAACAGACCCCTTGGAACTCCTTCAAGGCCTGAAGCAAACAGCATCCAAGCCTAAGATGCAGTGTGTAAATCCCTCAAAGACCTAAGAGCAAGCAAAGCAAAGCACTTAAATCATGAATTGTCACACAAAAACATTCTCAGGGCAATACTTACCCAGGAAATGGTGATGATTTGTAAAAGCTGCTTCATAAGTGACATGATCTCAACCCCCATTACACTTATTATCAGCCTCTGGAACAGAGTTCACAGAATTCCTACATGTCAAGCCATTTGTGGAAACTGTTTTTTCCCCAGTTTGTGCTTCTCCCAGTGACAGCACAAAGGCCTGGATCAATTAGGACAGAATTTCTAACACCTCTGGATCCTTTCCCACTCACTAACTTGCTGTGCCTCAGGACAGAGTGTGTTTTCTCCCTTCAAGACAAAACTCCCTCACACTGGACAAGCAAGACTGGAAGGACTGTAGGTGCCACTGTGAAGAATTCTGCTTCATTATAACATAATTAGCTAAGAAAAGCTCATTATCATTCTGCTAACACCCATCTTGATGCTGGAAAGGGAAAAGTCAGCATGTTCAGTACTCATGCTTCAACTGTACCTGGTGTTTATTACTGCTGAGTTACCTCAGTGCTTGGGTGACATTAGGGCTGAAACAGGGACTGAATCAGCCATTCAAAGGAGATGAGTCATTACTGTTGTACAAGGAAAAAATACACCAATTATATTGGAATATATTTGATCTATATAGAAATTCAGACCTTTACTAGACTATGAAATATTAAAGGCCATCTAAAGAAAGTTTACAGGATTTACCTACAGTGGTAACTAAGCCTGGCAGGATTTCCATTCCACATGGCAAAAACAAGTGATGCAGAACATCAGACATAGTTTGTTAACTCTGCAAACCTAAGTGGCAAGCACTCTGTCACTCATAACACAACTCTGCAACAGACCTCACCTACAAGAATCCTTGGACCTGAAGCAGATAAATCACTAAAACATCTTCAAGTCAACCACCTTGTACCTGCTCATCAGTAAAACCAATGGAATCCTTCCATTTCCCTACTCATCATGCTTTTCCTTTCTCACAAGGTTTTTAGTTGCAAATGTACCATTTATTGATTTGCACCTTGAAGTTCAAACATGTAAAAGATGTGAGGTTGTGTCTCTATAAGCTTGAATTTCATGTGTTCTGCAGCTGAGGACCATTTTGCTCCAAAGACAGGCAGTGACCAAACCCACCAAGCCAAGAACTGCAAGTAAATTTAAAAAGTACCAAAACCCCCACAAATTACAGGAAAAAAACCACAAAAGAATTTAAGAAGTTGCAAACATTTCTTCATGTCATCTCAATTCTGACTCTTTACTGAATCTTTAATTATCAGCTTACTTCGTTACCACACAATCTGTGCATCTTGTCATAGTCATTACAAACTGAATGGCAAAGAACAACCTTCTTAATACTTTTATTTCCAGCCAAAAAACCCAACCAAAGGAAATCAAAACTCCAGTAGTTCTTCCTTTATTGCACTCTATAAAACTTCTTGTTATAATCAAGAAGCCAATATACAGTAATAGCTTGATATTCCTTTAAAATTTATAGTTTAACTCTTAAAATAAAATTTGTATAGAAAAGATATCATTTACAACCCATTCAGTAGTAATCATTATGTACTCACAAACAATATTAAATAACTTGTATGCAGCAGTTTCTTTAGAGGGCAGAGGGGAATATTTTCTCCTTAGCAAATATAATATTCCACTGTTTAAAGAGCAATTCAAGTCAACTTTGGAGCAAGTGTGAGATACACAAAAGGAGCTCAAGATTGATATAGTGTCACAAGAATATGTACAACTGTGTCCAGTGCATAGCGTAACAGCAGCATGTGTAGAGTCTGTTCTCTTCAGTTGGCACAGCATTACCCACAGGCAAATAATTCCCCAGGAAAAGCAGTGTATTCAGAGAACACCAGTGAGGCACAGGAGGACAACAAGGTGTAGTGTAACCAGGTATGTGAGGAACAAATAACGGGACTTTGCGCGGGACGTCAGCAGCTTCGAACAGTAAAGGCTTCGCCCTCGAAGCCACCTCCGGAGGGAAAGGGCTCCTCCTCGCATCTGGGAGGGAGCAAAACATGCCATTAAATTGTCAAAAACTGATATAGAGAATTATCAACACAAATCAGAAGCAGCTCTGTTGCAGCTTGGATTTCTGAGTGTTCTAGGTTACAATGTAGGGTGTAAGCAATAGTATGTATTCTATTATCATCTTCACAAGATGTTAAAGCAGGTGGGGGCAGTGATGGTTATCTCCTACTCATCCCTGATGGCTCCCTCAGGAGGATATCTCTGTTTAATGGGCTGTCAGGGACCCAGGCATGACCCATAGAATTACACCATCCCATTGTGGGATGCTTCACCCCAGCGTGAGGAGCCAAGCATTCCCACCTGGATATAATGTGGAGTTTGGACCAGCACAAGGTGCCCTTACCTACTGGGTTCCCAGAGGACAAGAACTACCACTGGACCTTCTGGTGAAGACCAGATCTACAGGGTCACTGCTCCAACAGAGCCATCACTCCAGGAGGATTATAGCCACCATTTACTCAGACCACTACCAACACCCTGACTGACAGGATGTCAAGTTGCCTTCTGACTCTGGCAGTGGTTTCTCATTGTACTGTTACATATGTTGTTTTGTTTTCCCTATTAAATTGTATTTCTGACTTGGAGTCTCTCACTGGTTTGCTTTCAAACCAGCACACTGAGGTGCTACAAAGCTTTTGCCTCTGACACAGCAGCAGATGCCAGAGCACAGGCTGTAAGCACAAATGACTTAAAGGCCAAACCCAGCATGATTAGAAGGAGAGAGGAATGAATACAAGACATCTCTGTATCACACAGTTACAATACACATAGTGGAGATGAATATGCATGTTGCATTTTTAATGGCCATTATTTAATGGCCACATGTGCAATGCAAATAGGATTTGCTCACATTTTAGTTTGGACATAGGTGTTTTAGAGCATAGTTTACCCTAAACTGCTTGGATTTGACTCACAATGCAAACAGAAAGAAATTAAGAACATTTTTTCAGTAAAATGCAGTTTCAGAAGTAGTTTGCTCCTTTGAATGATGCCTCCATGGCCTGCCTACCCCCTCAGTACTGAACAGACCAAGAGCAATTCACAGTCAGCTTGTCAGAGACTAAGTGGATTAGACAAGTAACTGCCACATGCCAGGGCTTACATATAAAGAGGACAACCCCAAACCAGTGACATCCAGTCACTCAGAAGGGAAATCAACACTCCAAGGATGAATGACAGTTGAAAACAAGCTATAGCAGAGGGAAGGCATTAAAAAGCAAGCAGTAGCATGAAGGAGATCATGAGCTGTGCCATTTCAATCTAGCCTCCAAGTATCAGTGTACAACACACACACCATTTTTAAGCAGCTGATAGTTCAGGTTTCTTCAGAGCTTTCGTTTCCTTACCTTTCTCACAACAACATGTTCACTAGGATTGATGATTAAGGCTTCCCTTTCCTCCTCAGTGTCCATCTGGACAGTGTATTCGCTGGGTACAGACCTGTAACTGCTTACTTCAAACCTAGGGAAAAGTTAAAAGGGAGACAACATAGGACTGAACTATCTCCTCTTTTAAAGACTGAATTGACATAAAACACATGTGACTGAACTGTCTCCTCTTTTAAAGACTGAATTGACATAAAAAACATTCTTTTCCACACTCCCATTACTGAGGGAAGGTCCCCACAAAAGGCAGTCAGACCCACTATGTTGCCAGGTTTTTTGTAGTCTCTATTTACAACCTGAGGTGTTTCACTTACTCAGAATAACCTCCACCATCACTAGCTGACTAATAGTGATCCTCAGCTGACTGTACTGAGGGACACTGTGTAGGCAGATGGACAATGATATTTTTAATCTAACCAGTGGCTCTGCTAAAGCTGTTACATGTGAGACTTTTTTCCTAACTTGGACTTCAGAGTCCAACATCTGAAGCAAGAAATTAAATTAAAATGCCAACGATGGTCTTGATCCATAGAGTTAAACTTAGCCTTTAAACACAGTTACACATGGATTTTCACTGCTTCAGGCACTGTGGACTACAACAGGTTCTATTATTTGCTCAAAAGTCTAACACCACAGGAAAACCTATCACTACTCTCCCTAAAAATAAAAGGCAACAAATACTTGGCACTAGTATTTTACCTGTTACTTCTCTCCTCAGAGAGCCCAAGAGCTTCTTCTGCAGCTTCTCTCCTCCTCTTCTCCTCTGCCAGTGTTTCTGTCAGCTGTGAGAGAGCTTGCTGCACTGACTCATATTGCTGCTCAGTCTCTGCAAGCCTGCAACAAAATGAAAGCTGAAATCAATACTCTGCTTACTTACGGAATTACTTTCTTGTTCTTTTTCATTAGGAAATCTTCCTTTTTGTGACAGACTTAATTATAATGAGATGCTTAAGCTGGAAGACTGAAAGAAAGTCACCAATAAGTATTTATCTTTACAAAAACCAAATGATAAATATCACCAGATGATAACAATTCAAGAATGTGATTTATGATTCATTTAATGCACTGTAAATCCACTTCTTTCCCTTTTCCACACAAATGCCTTAGAGGGCTAGAAAAGCATTACTTTCACACTCACAACACAGCTGTCAGGAAAACAATATTGCTAATACATGCTCTGAGTCCTGACCTTTTTCTGAGCTCATTTAGTTCCATATTTTCTATCTCCACAATAATCCCAGATCTTTCCTGTGGCGCTCCAGGGGGAACTTCTGCTCTAGTTTCATCCTAGAAAATATTAAGGGGGGAAAAAAAACCCAGTCACCATTTTTCTAGTTGCTAAAAATCTTTATTTCAATTAAAGAAACCATAAGCACCACAAAGCAGTGGAACAAACCATTCTTTGTGCCATTTCATATTTTAATTTCCAATTTTCCAGACCTGTTTCCCAACAGAAAGTTGCTAAAGCTGCCTGTGTGTGCTGTGGGACCTGCTGGATATGTGTACACTGCCTACAACAGCAATCTCTGTCTGAGGGGAAAGAAATGCATTCACACACCACAGTTTCATAAGCAATGAAGCTATTCTTTATTTGTCATTAACCATTCCCCTTGTTTTAGTTTATTTTCATTTACGGAAGAATAAGGGTTGTTTTCTATACATATCCATATGCTGTTTCAGGGTATTATATTAACTGATTCTTACTGAATAACCAAGGCAGCCTAGGAAAGCCTGGTAAAAATGAAAATATCATAAAGGTACAATGATAGAATCATAAAGATTTGGGTTGGGAGGGACCTTAAAGACCATCTAGCTCCAACCCTCAAATAATAACCTTACAGATGTGTTTGCAGGGTTGGCAAAGGGCAGTGAAATGCTGAACTGGTGATGGAAATCTAACTTGTGAAAATATTCCTCAAACACCTTGCAAAATGATTCATGACTGTGAAATTATCACTACATTTCACAGTAATAATAATTTTTTGATCACTATCATGATGCAAAATCATCACTAAATTTGCTGATCCATTGATTAGTGATCATCCAGTGACCTCTGCCAGCTGCAGAGCAATTCAGAAAAGACAATTAAAAATAAAAGCCCATATAAACAGGTTTTTTAAATGAAAAGCCAAATAAAAGCAGCTTTACAACAGTAAAGACAGTTACCTTCAGAACCTCATGGACTGGCAAAATGAATCAGTACAACAAAAAATATTTACTTCATTTTTAGCATGAAAACCAGAAAAACATAAGAGAAAAGCCTAAACACATTTCCAATATTTGCTCACCTGAACAGAGCCCTGGAAAGATGTGACTTGCATTGACTGATATTCCCTCTCCAGCCTCAGATAGCGATTTTGCAGATCAGTGTAATGAAGTTGGTTGTCCCTCAGGGTCTGTGAAAGAGTCTTCAGCTGGGCAGACAAGATAGCATTCTCCTCTGCTGACTGCACAACCTGAAAAAAACCACAGTTAAATAAATCAAAATTAGGAGTTATCTCCTCCAGAAAATTCCCACAGATTTGAGACCTGTGGTTGAAAACAAACTAGTACTAGTTTCTAAACTTGCATCATTTTTTGGCAAGGTCACAGTTGGGCTATGATTTAACTAGTTGTTTTATGAGCAGTGGAAATAATGAAACCTGAGCAGTGATTTCCTCTGTCACCAATACACCCAAACCAGAAGCTGAAATCTTGTTCCAGCTCAGACACCTGTTTCTGTTTAGAACGAAAAATATGTTACTTTGAGCAGTTCAGCATCACCACATCAATGTCTTCAGAATGCAGAGTCAAATAAACCTCTCAGTCAAGTAATAAGTCAGGGCAGTCTGACAGAAGAATAACACTGACATTGAATTTGCAACTTCTACTCTGAGCCAACAGGGTTGTTTGAAAGAATCTAAGTTTTAAAGCAAAATTAACTTCCAGTCACGCAACACATCACCAATTTAGCAGTATTTCTGTGTGACACCAGCTCAGATTGACATGAGATCTTTAGGATCAGAGCTGCTGTTCTGAGCTACCTTGGCATTAACCTGCTGGAAATGCAGATCCTTCTGGTGCATCTCCTGAAGGCAGTGCTGCAGCTCACTCTGCAGCTGGTTCTTCTCAGCCAAGACACGTTTCATGTCCTCTGGTACATCTCCACTTCCAGCAAGGGAGGCAGTTTCTAAGGCCTATAAAGCATCAGGATATTCAGTTCTCCAAATAATACACAACTGCAGCACTGCATACACACATGGACTACAGAACTGCCTTTTCACAAGAGGATTTCCTCCTCACAACTTAACACCACATTTGTAAGAGACTAAGTAGATGTTTTTTCATATATAGTGTTTTCAACTTAAATGCTTGCATTAAAAAGCAATTTCTAAAAATCACCATGCAGAGACAACCCAAGTTAATTTTTAATTTGCAAACAGTGTGGAGCACAAAAAAAAAGGGAAAAATAGAAAAAGATTAATCTAAAATACCTCTGAAAAATTATTTTCAAACTAATACTGTAGGATATTCATGACTTGGGGGAAAACATCTATTTGTAAAGCTGAATTTAAAGCTGAAAGAGTCCATCTGGAAAAGAAAAAAAACCACCTGACTTTGTCACCAATTTACCTCTGACCTCTGTCTCTGGCAGGTCAACAGTTTGATGCTAATCTCCAATAAAGGAGGGACTTGTGCCATCTCTAATGCTTTATGGAATCTATTTCCCCAGACAATCATGAAATAAAGACTTCTACCCCATCACATATCCCATAACCCACAGACATTCCTGTTCAATAGCTCTTATTCACTATTTTAGTCACAGGAAATGAACAGCACATGGAACACAAACCTGACTAACTGAAATGTTGCTTTTAATGCAAGTAAAATGAATGCTGCTTCCTTCCTCTGGCACAGAAAAGGTAAATAAGATTGTTACTACAAAATAACACTTTCCTTGAACCTTGAATGACAGCAACTGCCAGACTGAGGCTCAGCTGTTGCCTTTCTAAATCCAGGATTTTGTTCCTGGCAGAAGTCAACTCCAGCTGCTTCAAGGGAATGGCAAGAACACTTCCATGAGGCACACCTCCCTCTTCTCCCCCCAGCTAGGTCCTGTTCTAATCTGCAGTAATTAGTCACTGAAGAATGAACTTTATTAGAGCTTTAAAATTTCTTTGCATCAACTATACAAATTGTGGAATTTGCTGTCAATATAAACTACCAAACTCTTTTTTGATCCTCTCAAAAACTGTGTCCCTGGAAGTAGGTGGCAGCTATAATAGATCTGAAAAAAAAAAGCATTTAATTTTCTTTTAGCTTCTTCCTATTATAGTCTGGATTTAACTAAGCTAAAATAGTAACTTGACAGGATTACTATCATTTACTGTATAGTTCTCTTTCAAGAGAGAATACAATAAACTGAAACATTCCATTTGACATTCCTGTTCCATCCATTTCTTTACCTTGACTGAGTAATTGCTGCCAGCAGAGACTGATTTCTTCACAATGATGTCTTGTTGCAGCTTCTGCAGCTCTGCAATCTGTCTGTCCTTCTCAGCCACTGTGAGCTGACATTGATTTCGCAGTGCCTGAGACTCGGAGAGGAGGAGGTTTTTTTCCATTCTGAACAGAAAAAATTAGATGTTAAATGATGCTGTACTACACAGAAATCAAGGAAAAGGCTAAAGCTGTGCTTACTGTTACTTCTGAAATAAATAATGGTGGGGTTTAAGTCATATGCAAATATATATCTTCCTGTTGTTCACTGGTTCAGTCTAGAATGAATTTGATCTAGATACTTCATTCTAACTTGCTCACATTTGTGGAGAAATGTAGGGCTGACCTTTGGATCTACACCCTCTCCCCAAAAGCATCTAGTGTAAAACAGATACTACCTTCCACAGGCTTTAATCAGAGCTGCAGAAATTTCTCTCTGGAAAATCAAATGCAGTCAGGCTTCAGGATGCTGCCTACAGGCCTCAAATTCCAAGAAAATCCTTGTTACTCTCAGAGGATAATATGACACTAAGCAGTGAAAGAAGATTCTTAAAGTGCAGTTCCACACATCCAGTCACCAACAGAATAGAAATCACCCAAGTAAGACTGTGTGAAACTTCACATAAACCAAGAGACTCTTACAGCATGGTAGAACTGTGCACAAAGACAACTCTATGGAAGTTTATTTCATACTCACAGGAATATTCTTACCCTGCTTCCTGCTAAATGATACCCAACTCTGGATGCCAGTTTTGACAGGTTGTGAAGTCCCTGATGAATTCTAAACAATACCACATGTGCTATAATTTTAACACTCATACCTTAATCCAGCCAGCTCATTCTGGTATGATGCAATCTCTCTCTCAGTTTCTGCTTGGAAGGCTTTTGTCTGATGCAATGCCTTCTCCAAATCATCCACCTTGGTCTTCAGCTTTGATATCTCAACAGCTGCAAGGCTGGCTCCTTCTTTAGCCTACGTTTAATAAACATTATTAGTGAACTGCAATGAAAACTGTATGGTTGAAGTTTGATTAATGCTAACATTCTAATTACAGAATGATGTTTCTTCCCATTTGCTCCATTTAACAGGATAATTACCTTAACTACCCAAATCATAAGCTGGTCACACAGTGCTGTCTTAGCACTCACACAGAGTTAAACTTCAGAATCCATAATGTCTAACCATCCTTTGCACAAGGAATAAAATTACAGAGTGATGTGGCTAACTCAAACTTACCAAAGTTTCCCTATAGCCCCGAGGAACATGCAAATTACTTTGAAAGTAATTTCTCTCATTGCTGCTGTGGCAGTCAATGGGAGATGAGGCTGTGCCCTGTTTGGGTTCAGAAGTTACCTTCTGATGGCTGAGCTCCTGCAGCAATTTGTCTCGGTCATCCTGCAGACTGGCCATAGCCTTGGAAAATGCTTCAATCTGGTGGACGTAATTCCCAGACTCAGCTGAGATCCTGCTCAGCTCCATTTCCCGACTGACTAACATCCTACAGAGACTTTCAACTCCATCAGCAATCTGAGCCAGTGTAACCTTATCTGCAGCATCAAAGGCAGCCTGATGCAGAAGGGAATGTTCTTTGAGGATACTGATGAGTTGTGACTTAAATTCCTCCAATTCAGCTGCAAGTTTGTCTCCTTTCTTTCTTTCAGTCTTTAGCTCAGACATGTATTTACTCTGAAGTGCCTGGAAGTCATCTATGAGCCGATCCCTGTCATTCTGCAGAGCAGTCATTGCTTTCCCAAAGGCCTCATTTTGGGACCTCAGCTCACTGTTTTGAGACTGAACTTCTAGCAGTATTTTCTCTGCAAAAGGATCAGGTTTATCTCCATCTTCAAATGCCAAAAGAGTCCTACTGTATTCCTCATCTGCATTTCTGCCTCTGGATTTCTGGAGCTCTTGAACCTTCTTCTGAAGATTTTCTCCATATTGTCCATTGGATTCTTTTTTCTGAACACTATCACTAGTTAGCAGTTTCTCTCCAGATTCAGAAACAAGTTTCTCCTTGTTTAATGATGCAATTAGAGATTCTAAATCACTTACTTTAGACACCAACTTTTTATTTTCCTGTTCCACAGACACAGCACTCTCCTTTTGCAGCTCACTGGAAAGCTGCAGTTCTTTGATTTCTTTTTGAAGATCGTATTTTTCATGTTCAAGGCTTTTAATACAATCCAATTTCTGCTTTAGTAAGTCTTTCAGCTGATGGTCTTTCAGAGATAAAACCTGGTTGAGATCTTCTCTGTACTTTATCAGCTGTGCACTCAGCATTGCATTTTCAGAATGCAGATCATCTATCCTATTGAGGAGTATCCTCAATTCTTGTTTCAAGGCATTATTCTCACTTGCACTGCCAACTAGAAGACTGTCCCGCTGATTCAAGACATCTTGGTGAAGATGTTGCAGCTCTTTGTATCTGGTCAGAAGCTCATCCCGATCGTTCTGGAGAGACGACATGGATTTTTTAAAGGCATCTATTTCACTGGCAGTCACAGCCTTGTCTTGAGCTGCTTTGTCTGCCTTCACCTGGAGATTTCTCAGCTCATTTTCCAACCTCTGACATGACTCCTCAGCCTGTTGTCTCTCCATCTGCAAAGACCTTACCTGAAGTTCATACTCTTTGATTTGATTTCTATGTTGAGTCTGTACCTGAATCAGATAGTCTGAAATTTCATCTCCTTTGGAAGAAATGAGTAAGGAAATTTCTTTGTCTTTATTATTGAGCATGATCTTCATTTGCTCACAAATGGTAACCTGCTTTTGCAATTCAGCATTCATTTTTTCCTTCTCAGCTAGAAGCTGTTGCAATTCTTTCTCCTGTCGCGTAAAATTACTTTCCAGAGCTTTTATCTCTCTTCCTGCACTTTTGCTGGTCTCTATGAGATGATTAAGAGAATTGTTTTCTTTCAGGAGTGCTTGCAAAGCTTCTTCTTTGGACTGAAGAACACTCTCCAACTCTTGCTGTCTGTTAAAGAAAAAGGTATTTTCTTCCTTTATCCTGCAGAGCTCTTCATAGCGCTGCAGATCGACAGACTTTTGCCTCAAGTACAGCTCATCCTTTGTTTCCTCTACCACAGAGTATTTGATGTTCAGTTCTTGAATCTGAGTAGTTTTAGCTTTCAATTCATCTTGTAAGGACAGGATTCTTTTATTACTGTCTTCTATCTGTTTCTCCTTACTTTGGATGGCCTCCTTGAACTGCATTTCCCAGGTTTTCATTTCAGTGATGACCCTGTCCCTGTCATCCTGAAGAGAGGACATACACTTTGTGAACGCAGCTAATCGTGCCAGGGCTGCATTCAAATCTGCTTGGAGCTGCTTGTTTTGAGAGTCCTTAATGCCAACTTCCTCCTGCAAACTGTGAATCTCACTCACTGCCCGATCTTTTTCCCTCTCAAGGGCACCATGTCTTTCCTCTAGGTTGGAAAATTCCCTTTTGTGAAGCAATTTTAGTTGTTGAAGATGAAATTCCAATTGTCTCTCATAGTCTCTCTTTTGAAGTTGCAGTTCTTCTTCCTTCTTCTTGAGTTCTTTCCTCCAGTTTAGATTCTCATCTGTAAGCCTGTCCACTTCATTCCTTGACTGATCCAACAAGTCCATCTGGCAAGAAAGCTTTCCCTTGAGATGGTGTATTTCTTCATTGGATTTCACCAGCTTTTCTGATGTGTTACTTAAATCTTTCTCAAATTTTTCACTCTTTGACTGTGACAGTTTCACAGATCTTTCCAAATCCAGGATCAGCTCCTGGAACTTTATAGAATCCTTTTGCAAATGATTGATCTCCTGCTGTTTCTCCTTTAAGAGTTCTTGCAATTCTTTTGTTTTGTTCTTACTTCCATTGTTATCTCTCTGAGCATTTTTCACCTTCTCCTCAAACACCTTTACAAGATGGAGCTGCTGCTCTTCCTTTTCTCTAACCACATTACATTTTTCTGCCTTTAGTTCTTCCAGTTGCTGTTGCAGCAAATTATTCTGTGCCTGTGCTGATTTCATTCTATCAGTAAGATTATCAACCTTTTTAACATGATTCAGCAGCTCTGTCTCAAGAAATTCTCTCTCATTCTTTACTTTGTAAGAACTTTCTTGTACATTTTCTAATTCTTCCTGTAACAGACATTTGTCATCCTCTAAAATCTTAACTTTTTCATTTAGACTAACAATTTCTTGTGTAAGACTTTTACATTCCATGTCCAGCTTTGTTAGACAGTGATTTTTATGGACCAAAGACTTTGCAGTTTCTTGTGCTTTTTCTGAAATTAATTTTCTTTCCTGTTCTAGGACCAGCACATCTTGTTCTTTTTCAGACAGTTTATCCTTCAACACATTAATGTCCTTTAACAATGCTTCATTCTCACATAATGCATCACTGATTTTAGACTGTGTATCATTTTGGTACACTTCCATCTGAACCTGGAGCTCTTCCAAAGCTGCTTTAGTCACAGTGATGTTATCCTCAAGGATCTCATTTTCACTCTGAATTTTCTCTAAAGCCTGTTTCAACTTTTCAGAAGTTTGTTTCAGCTGCTCATTTTCCTCCATTAGCTGATGGTTCTGTTCAGTGAGCTCATGGAGACGATCCTGGTGTTCCTGCATCTTTGCCTCCTGCTCACGTATCTCCCTTTCTGCTTTACTTTGTAATTCCTCAACTTCCATCTTCTTGGATTCACCAAGTTGTTTCAGTTGGCTCTTAATAACCTCATTTTCCTCAATGAGATTTTGTAAATGCTTCTCCAGAGCTTCCTTCTCAGATTCTCCTTCCCTGAGCCTCTGAACAGCCTCTTGCTTCTCTTTTCTACTGACATCAATAACTTGCCTCATATCTGCTACTTTACTACTGATATTCTCATATGCCTGAAGCAGCGATTCATACTCCTGCTTTAATTCACTATGTTTAGCTTTCCAGCCTGTTAATTCAACTGTCTGAGAATCTTTTAAGGTATTTAGTTGGAAAGAAAAGGCCTCTTTTTCCTGAACTATCGACTCCATGGTGGATTTCAGGCTTTCACATGCTGCTGTGAGGTTTTCATTTTCAGTCAACAGTCTTGCATTTTCAGACACAAGACTCTCCTCTCCATACAAGGGAGCAACAGTGCTTGAACTTTGCTTTTCTCTGCCAACCTCCAACAAATGTTCCAGCATCCCTGTCTTGTTCACCAGTTCTTCTCTTTCCAACATCAGCTGATCAATCTGCTCCTTTAGGCATTTGTTTTCTCTCAGGGCTTCTTTCCGTGATACCAAAGCTGCCTGTAATTTCCTCTGCAGGCGCTCTCTGCACTTCTCATCTGTCACACTTCTTTGCTCCTGGAGTTTAGAATCATCTGCAGCTTTTGCCAGTGGCTCTTCCACCATTTGCATTTGTCTCTGGGTTTGACATTCTGTTGCTTCTCTCAGTTTGGTTTTCTCAGAGTAATCAGTCTCTGGTAGTTGAAAACTGGTGCCTTCACCTTCTAACTTTCCCTGATGGGAATTACTCTCAGAACCAAACTCTCCCAATTCCTTTTCAGTATCATTTTCTTCCTTCAGCTCTTTGCCAGACACCACAGGTGGTCTCATCTCAGCCTTCTCACGCAGCAAACGTAACTCTGTCAAAAGGTTTTTATTTTCTTGGCTGAAATGTTCTACCTCATTTTTCATGCTAATTAGTTCCAAGTTGGACTTTTCTAAACAGTTGAGAAGTTCTTCTTTTTCACTCTTCATTTCTTCCAAGGCTGTTTTGTACCATTGGGCTTCTTGGTCCTCCTTTATAGCTTTGTTTAACAATTCTTTCTCCAAATCAAGTTTATCTTTGAGTGAACACCTCAGTGCTTCTATTTCTTCATTCTTTTCTGCAAGTTCCTTCTTAGCTTCAATTCTTGACCTCTGCAGCTCCTCCTCGCTCATCTTGTAATCCTCTTCACTTTTTTTAATGAGTGCTTCTTTCTCTTTATTCACATGTTCCAGCACAGCCTTAAGGTCTACAGTTTCAGCCTTATACACTTTCAACTTCTTCTGTAGCTGCTTTATGTCCTCCAACAAGCTGCCCTCACATTGTGCCTGCCACTGCTCCTGCTGGCTCAGAGACTTGGAGTTGACTGTTTCTTCTCTTTCATCACCAAATTCCACTAATATTTGTCTCAGCTCCTTCCTTAAAATTTCTGTTTCCTCCTGAAGCTTTGCATAATCACTTGAAGTGACTGTGTTTTCTGACTCTTTGAAGGATGTAACCTGAATGTTACTTCTTGGCTTGTCCAACTCCAAATTCCTTAGGTGAGCTTGTTCTTCTCCCAGGAGTTCCTTAGTTGAAGCCAGCTCCTTCCCCAGAGGGTACTCTTCTAACTGGTTAAAGCCCAGTTCTTTACATTTGGTTTGGAGAACTTCCCAGAGCGCTTTATGTTCTTGTTCGAGCTGCTCAAGGTGGGTTTGTTGTTCATCAAAATCTGCTGCAAGTTTAGTGTGTTCTTCCCTTTCTTTCTGAAATTTTTTCACTTCTTCCTTCAAGACCAAAAGCTCCTTCTGTAAAGCTTCTTTTTCTTTTTTTAGCTGATTCATGGCATCAATGTCATTGTTGGGGTCCAGACACTCTTTTCTGTCCCCAGCACTTAAACCACGTTCCTCTAAACCGGAATTTTTCAACAAGTCTTCCTTCTTCTGAAGTTCAGATTTCACCTTTTCAAGAGCTAAGAGCAGCTGAGAACATTCCTCCTCATAGGCACTTGTCTTTCCATCAAGGACAGTTTGCATATGAGCAAGCATGTGGTCCTTTTCCTCTAAAGATTTTAGGTTCTGCTCACAAATATTCTGTTTTTCAGCAATGACATCATTTAGCTCTGTAATATTATCCTGAAGTTCCTCTAAATAAGAAGCTTTGGAAGATAAAATTTCAGTCAAATCATTGATCTTTGCATCTTTTTCTAAAAGTTGTTGCTTCAAAGTTCCGAGATGAGACTCAAAATCATTATTTTGTTCTTCAGATAGTTTCAGCTTATCTGTTAACTCATTAACTTTCTTCAGCAGCTCCTCTGCTCTTTTTTGCTCTTTTTCTATTTCTTCCTGGCCACTCTTTTCTAGTTTTCCAACTTTCTGCATTAGATCTCTTCTCACTATCAAGGCTGCTTGAAGTTTCTTTTTCATATTCTCTTTCTCCTTGCCCATTTTCTCAAGATTAGACTGCATCTCCTCTTTTGCATTCATTAAATCTTTAAGCTCAGCTTCTCTGCTATTTAACATAACCTGCCTGTGTTCCAGTTCCTTCTTGCAATCCTCAAGTTCCTGCAACACTCTGTTCAGCTCTGCCACAGAACTATTATGAACAGCTTCAAGGTCTTGCAGTTTGGCATTTAATGTCTTTTTCTCTTCAGAAAAATTCAGCATTTCATTAGACAATGATTCCATGACCTGGGAAATAGAAGAGTCTTTTTCTTTCAGTTGCTGGCTGAGACCAGAAATCAACTCCTTCTGCTGATTTACCTGGGAAGTTAAGTTTTTGATGAGTTGATCTTTTTCCCCCATTTCTTCAAGGAGACTTGCTACTTTTTTACCTTCAACCTGCAGCTTTTCTTGACTGGCTCTTACTTGCTTCTCAAGTGACTCCTTATTTTTTAATTCACCTTTCATGGTGTCTATTTCTTTCTGTTTTTCTAAAAGCACCAGTTGTAACTGTTCTCCTTCTGCTTCTTTGCTCAGAATAGCAGTTACCAGAGTGGAGAATTTTTCCAACTGAGTTTTACTATCAGCTGGCTGCAGCTCAGAAGTTTGTGCCTTTTCTTTACATAAAAGCCTATTGCTAAGTAATGGAGACAAGCTTTGAGTTAATTCCTCTTTTATCAGATCCAGCTCTTGCTGCAAAGACTCAATTTGGCTATCCTTTGATTTCATTTCATTTTCTAAACTGCTCAACTGCTCAGTAAGAGTATTATTTTGCAAACTTGCCCTATCAAGTTCTGTCACCCATTTGTTTTCTGACTCAAGTAGGTTTTGTTCTAGTGTTTCACATTTAAGTTCTAATTTAGAAAGTTCTTCACCCTTCACACTAACCTGCATCTGTAACTTCTCTGTTTCAGTCTTCATCTGCAGTTTGACAGCATCTATCTGCATCCTTGAGTAATTCTCACTGGTTTCTAGTTTCTCCCGGATTTCTCGGAGCTCTTCCAATTTCTTTTGCAGATCATTCAGAGATGCAGTAAGTTGTGTGTTTTCAGCCATCAGTTTATCAACATCTTCTTGTAGCAAAGCTTTTTCTTTCTCTAAAGACTCTACCTGGCACTGCAGACTATTGATTAGAAGTGCATTGTCATGGCAATCTTGAGATGACTTAGAGTTTATGTTGTTCAACTCTGACTTCAAACTTTCAATGTTCTCTGCCAGTTCAGTGCACCTCACACTCAGAGACTCCACAGACAGTTCTTTTTGCTGCAGCTCTTGCTCCTGTGTATTTATTTGGTCCAGTGCTTTTTGGTGTTCATTTTTAAGGGATTCAAGTTCAACAGTCAAAGAATCAATTTCTCTCTGCTTAACATCAAGCTTCTCCTCCTTTCCCTGACATTCCTCAGTAAGGTTTCTCATGGCTGTACCACTTTGCTCTAATTTTTCTCTGAGGACCTCAACCTCACTAGAGAGATCATTAATGTTGCCCTCTGCCAGCTGTATCCTGGCATCTTTCTCCTTTAAGGAATTAAGCAGTCCAGCAATAACTTCTTCTTTTTTCCCAAGAGCCGCATTCGACTCAGTCCTCAGCTCATACTGTGCTTCAATTTTCTCCTGAAGAGACAACAAGGCATTTTCTTTCTCATTAATTAGTTCTTTAGATTTCTGTAGTTCTTGTGTTAGTTCACACACCTGACTTTGGAGCTGAGAAACTAAGTTAGCCTTCTCTTCATCTTTTCTTGCTTTCTCCTTCAGAGTTCTGAGGAGACTTTCATTTTCCGTAAGAGACGATTCCTTCTCCAATAAGGACTGGCCCAGCTCCATTATTACATTCTTCTGATGCTGTAGCTCTTTTTGGCAATTCACTTTTACCTCCTCCAGCTCCACCACCTGTTTCTTTAAGGCATCACATTCCTTCTCTTTCTCTTGAAGTTGCATCTTTAAGTTCTCACTGAATACTGAAATGTTGTTGATGGCAAATTCTTTTTGTGAAACAAGGACTTTTAACTGCTCTGCCTCAGAGGCTAAAAGCTGTAACTGTTGCTCCTGCAAGCCAGAAGATTCCTGTACCTCAGAAAGCTGAGCTTTTAGACTGATATATTCATCTACCTTTTGTTTTAAAGATGCTTCTTTCTGCACAATTGATTCATTCAACTGGGATGATTGTTCTGTCACATTTTTAAGCTGATACTGAAGGTCAGAAATAACCTCCATATTCTCAGACAGTTGAACCCTAAGTACATCAGACTCTTCAGATTTATCTTTCAATAACTTTAATTCTTGGGTTTGCCTCTTAAGTTCAGTTTCTTTCTCCTGCATTGCCTGTCTGAGCTGGCTGGATTCAAACCTCAGGGCTTGGATTTGTTTTTGTAGATCTGAAATGATTTGCACGTATTGCCCTTCTCCTGCAGCTTTACTGTCTTTCATTTGCTGAATCAAAGCCTCCTTTTCAGAAAGGAGAGTTTCCTTTTCTTCAAAGGCAGTTTTCAGGTTTTCTTTCTCAATCAACAGGCCATCAATTTGGTCCTTCAGAGCTAAAATATTATGACTTTGTTGAGACAAGTGTGAGGTTAAAGCAGCTACTTCATCTGACTTTTTCATTACTGTGACATTAACTGCTTCAATATCTGCTTTCAGTTTTTCGTTCTCCAGAGCTGCTGTTTGTGCTTGGTGCCTTGCTGAAGTGATTTCAGACTGAAGAGACTCACATTCACGTGACTTCTCACTCAATGAGCTTGCAAAGTCCTCCTTTTCATGCCTAAGCATATCTGCTTCTTTGCCTAATAGCTGCAGCTGATTATTTAACACTGTACTTTCCTCCAGTTTTTCAGACACTTGCCTCTGTAACTCCTCAAGTTCTGAGCTCTGACTTTTCACAGCCAGGTCTCTTTCTTCTACCAACTGAGCTAACTTAGTTTTTTCATCTTTAAGATTTTTAATTTCACCCTGCAGCTCTACAACACAAAGCTTAGTCTCTTCCATTTCCTCACGTAATGAATCATTGTGAAGGTTCTTCTCTTCCAGAGACCTGTTTGCACTTTCAAAATCCAAAGTTATGCTTTGAATTTGTTCCTGCAGGAGTAAATTCTTTTCCTTGCTATGGCTGAGCTCTTGGATTAGGTCACTGCATTCAGATAATTTATTATTTAACATTTGTTCTTTCTTTATTTCTTCATCTCTGGTTTCCTTCAGCTGAATGAGAAGTGATTGCACTTGTTGATGCAACTGTTGGGTCTGTTCCTTGCTTTCAGACAACTGCTCAGCCAGCACATTACATTCCTTTGTTTTCTCCTGCAGCTGTTCTGCAACTGAACTTTCTTTTTGCTCAGCAACTGCTGCAAGTTGTTCAATCTCCTTTGCCAGAGTGGTTTTATCACTATTTAGTACCGAAAGAGTTTTTTCATACTCAGCAGTGCTAACAGATAACTTATTCTCCATTTCTGCCACAGCCTGAGTTTTCTTTAACAGTTCACGCTCTTTTACATCCAGGAGTTTAGACAAATTCTCATTTTCTCTGATTAGCTGTTCCTTCTCTTTTTCCATTGCATCAATACTTTGTTTCAGATGTTCATTTGCTTTTGTTTGCTCTGCCAATTTTCCTTCTTTCCCCTCAAGAGCTGCCTGCAATTGGTTATTAGCTGAAGCTTTCTCCTGTGTCTCTATTTCCAGTTTGCTAATTTGTTTCTGTATTTCATTTAATTGGCTATTAAGCTCTTTGCAACATGTTTCTTTGGCTTTCAGATCTCCACTTAATTTAAGTTTAGTCTCTTCATTTTGCTGCTCCAAAACCCCAAGCTTCTGCTCTAAGGAAGCAATGAGCTCTTGTTTCTCTTGCAATTCTTTTTTAACTGTTTCCTGATGTTCAGTATGTTCTAAAAGCTTCCTGGATAATTCAGTCAACTCTTCATCCTTTTTAGCATTTTCCAAAACTAGTTTGTTGTATGAATCTTTAATTGATTTTAACTCATTTTCAAGTGTCTGTGCTTTATTCTCTTTCTCTTTGAGCAAATTGTTCCACTTTTCCTTTAAAGCATTGTTTTCCTCAAGCTGAGATTTCAAATATTCAGTTTCTTTTTTCTGTTTATCCTCAGTTTCTTGTAGTTTTTCAGATGATTTAGTAACTTGTTCTTTCAGCAGAGTAATTTGGGACTCACACTCTGTGAGTTTGTTGTGGTATGCAACACTGTTGGCCTTGATTTCAGCACGAAGGTCCTTAATTATCTTGTTGTTCTCACTGCTTTGTTTTAGCAATTCCTCATTCTCTTTGGTTTTAGCTTCATTCTCAACTATAACCCTCTCCAGCTCTAGTCTCATTGTGTTGCTCTGCTCAGAGAGGACAGAGATCTTCACACTCGCATCTCTTATATCAGCTGTTTGCACTTCCTTCAGTAAATGAGCTTCCCTTTCAGCCTTGGATAAAGCCTCTTCCATCCCTCTCATTTCCTCCTCTTTGCATTGCACTTGGTGCTTTAGGATGAGAACCTGTTCAGAATATTCTGTCATATTCAAGGACAGAACAGACATCTCCCTGTCTTTTTCTGCCAGTGCTTCTTTGAGATTATCAATTTCTCTTTCCCGTTTCTGGAGATCTTGAATGAGCTGAGATCTTTCTTCCAAATGGCTTGAGTTCAGTTTGTCAAGCTCTTCATTAGTCTGGTCCAGATCCAGCTGCATTGACTCCACCACACCATCTTGTTTCAAAGTCTAAACACCAAGAAAATGATGTCACAAGAGTACTCTAAACACACATTAGGATGAAGAACTCACAGGGAGAAGTATCTAAGGTAATCAAGCTATGCCCAGCTGTAAAGTCACAAGATAACCCTATTGTTCCTTAGACTGTTCTACCACACAGAAAGCTCAGTGTATAGAATTTAAAGCAACTAATGCAGTTACTTTTGCTGACATTTCAATGGGCCAAGAGAAACGAACATAAAATTTCTTCTCTAACTTTATTTTAATGAGTTACCTTTTCTTTCAGCGCAGCAACTTTTTCTGTTAGGTCACTGATGATTGTTTTCTGCTCAGTGCTCTCCACTTCATACACACTGCATTTCCTTAAGGCTTCATTCAGCTTAGTATTAAAAAAAAACACATACAAAAAAAAAATAGAATCACATACAATTCTATTAAAGATGTGATGTTCTGAGGTAGAATATTGAGTTTACACAACAGTGAAGTTTATACTTTGAAATTAATAAATGATAGTAAACTATCACCCCAATAAAAAAATCAATGCTTTCATGCAGAGCTGTTTTGGGTCTAAGAAATCCTGACACCAAACTTAAAGCAAAGCAAGTAAATGAACAAAACTGTAAAGACACAGCAAAAACCTTCAGATTGAGAAAATGACAATACTGTTGCTGAGACACATATAGAAAGTTCTAACAAATACTAACAGTTACTTTATCTTACTTTTTGCTCAGTATGCCCAAACTTTTCACCAAGCTCTTTGTTCAGAAGATCCTTCTCTTGAAGCAGTTTCCTCAAAGTTTCAATTTGCTCCAGTTTTTCCGTTGTGCTCAACAGTTTTTGCTCTTTTTCTCCAAGTGAATTTTCAAGGAAGCTATTTCTGTCACTTAACCTAGGAAGAAAAGATCTATTTAGACATTTTGCAAACAAAGCTTGCTTTAAGCTTTCTAGACTTACTAACTCCAAACTATTTTTCTAAGAGAATAATTATTTTCACACTTTCCATTTAAACTGCCAAGCACAAAAATGACTACAA